AATTACTCAACACAAAGCTGCTATTATAGGACAATATCCAACTCTGGCCCCAGACATTACTCGGTACCCCTACTCAAATCTCTGAATATGCTAAACATTAAGTCACTGCACATTCTCTCATGTGTATTATACATATATAAAACGCTAAACTATAATGCCAATCCTGATCTCAAAAGATTCATAGAAGGTTGTAACAGAACCCATGAGCACCACACCAGAAATAAATACAGTTTTGATATTCCTAGAGTACGACTTAATCAAACTAGAAATGCTCTACAAATCAAGGGGCCCAGAATGTGGAATGACCTTCCCAACCATGTTAAAGACTGTACCTCTCTCAACCAGTTTAAGCTAAAAACGAAGCTATACCTAATAAATTCCCTGTAACCTACCTTACCCTTCTATTGTCAACCAATGTCTGTTTTTTTTAAAGAGCGCTGTTTGTCGACTCAAATCCCTTGAGTGTCATACCTTCCCTGATATCCTTAAAAAAGCAAGAGTAACGCCAGTTCATAAAGGAGGTAATCTGTCAGATATAAACAACTACAGACCAATATCGAACCTACCCATACTATCAAAAATATTTGAAAAAATTATCTACAAACAGCTCTACTCCTATCTCGTAAAATTCGACATTCTTAGCCCCTGTCAGTTTGACTTCCGCTCTCAAAAGAGTACCAACGATGCAATTATTAGTCTCCATGATATAATTTACTCAGCCCTTGACAAAAATGAGTTTCCAATTGGACTCTTCATTGACCTGAGAAAGGCCTTTGATACTGTTAATCACGATTACCTCTTATGTAAACTCCATCATTATGGAATCCGAGGCCATGCACTGGACTATATCCAATCCTATCTTAGTGATAGACACCAATGTGTAGCCGTCAATAATATAACCTCTCCCACTCTACCAATAACCGTTGGAGTGCCACAGGGCAGCATCTTGGGACCCCTACTATTTCTTATATACATTAATGATCTGCCTAATGTCTCTAACATTCTGAAACCTATTTTGTTTGCTGATGATACTACCCTCATTTACTCCAACCCCAACCCACATACACTAAATGATGTTGTTAATAATGAACTAAAAAAAGTCCACTTATGGATGTCAACCAACAAACTAACACTTAACATAGAAAAGACCTACTACATCCTATTTGGAAGCAAATCTACAAATGCAATTCAGCTTCAGATTGACAATGTAAACATTAGCAATAAAAATGATGGAAAGTTTCTTGGCATATTCCTTGACAAGAGACTCAACTTCAGTACCCACATACAACTCATAACTAAGAAAGTCTCTAAAACAGTTGGTATACTCTCCAAAATCAGATATTATGTTCCTAACTCTGCTCTCATCTCTCTATATTATGCACTAATCTATCCCTATCTCAACTATGGTATCTGTGCATGGGGTTCAACCACTGCAAACCACCTCAAGTCCATCATCACCCAGCAAAAATCTGCTATCAGAATAATATCAAATTCTGCTTTCAGACAACACACAGCCCCCTTGTTTAACTCCCTAAACATGCTAAACATAATCTCACTCCACAAATTCTCTTGTGTCAACTACATTTACAAAACCCTGTTCTTAAATGCAAATCCTTGTCTGAAACTCTTCCTGGACAGATGTAATAGGACCCATTATCACCATACCAGAAATAAATATCTCTTTGATATCCCCAGAGTTAAACTTAATCTGTGTAAACACTCTATGCAAATAAAGGGACCCAGTTTATGGAACTCACTCCCTACTGAATTGAAAAGCTGTCCAACTTTTACATCATTCAAAATCAATACTAAAAAGTACCTAATTTCATCTTCATAGTTTTTCACTTTTTGCCTTAAAATTGCACTGTATCAATTGCTACCCAATCTCCCAACCTTTATGTTCCCAATTTGAACATCTTTACCATTGTGATCATTGCTGTTTTCTTATATGTGCTGCCAATCTGTTGTATGGTGTTTATAAATCTTGTTTATCTGTATCTTTTGCTACCCAGTCTCCCAATCTTTATGTACCCATTCTGAACATCTTTACCATTGTGATCATTGCTGTCTTATATGTGCTGTCAATCTGCTGTATGGTGTCTATTAATCTTGTTTAAATTACTAATCAAGCTGTCAATGTAATCAATCAGAGCTTTAATATAGCAATGTGCTTTAATATAACAATGTGCTTTAATATACTTACTTATCTCTCTCATCTCATTTTTCTCTTGTAATGTATCTTTATCATTTATCAATTCTGATTGAAATTACCTACTTAAAATTATCTGCTAGATTAAGGACCTGCCCGAAACGCTGCGCGTACTAGTGGCTTTACAAGAATGTAAATACTGTACTATCCAATGTATTCTCACAAACCCAATGTACCTTCTTGTATATATATAAATAAATAAATAAATAAATAAATAAATAAATAAATAAATAAATAAATAAATAAATAAATAAATAAATTTAAGTTTATCATGCCCGAAACGCTTTGCGTAATAGTGGCTTTAGGCATTATATGTACTAGCTCTACCTATAAGTCAACCAATCTTTGTAAAAATTTATTGTATGTATGTACCTTACCTAAATAAACATTTTATTTTATTTTATTTATTTTTTAATTATCTCTGAATTCAGGTATGTTTTCGCACTCCATCACATAGTGACGGAGGGTGTGCGAATAATTTTGTTGACACAGTTTACATTTGGTCAGATCTACATCAGCAGATAATGAAAATTCCCAGAGATACTTGTAACCGAGTCTAATCCGAACAGTATTTATTTATTTATTTATATACAAGAAGGTACATTGGGTTTGTGTGAATACATAGCATAGTACAGTCTTTATACAATCTTGTAAATCCACTAGTACGCGCAGCGTTTCGGGCAGGTCCTTAATCTATCAGATAATTTTAAGTAGGTAAATTCTATCAGAATTAATAAAATGATAACAAATACATTGCAAGAAAAAAAATGAGGTGAGAGAGATTAGTAAGTACATTAAAGCACATTGGTATATTAAAGCTCTGATTGATTCCATTGACAGCTTGATTGGTAATTTAAACAAGATTAATAGACACCATTCAGCAGATTGACAACACATATAAGAAGACAGCAATGATCACAATGATAAAGATGTTCAGATTGGGTACACAAAGATTGGGAGATTGGGTAGCAATAGATACAGTGCAATTTTAAAGCAAAAGGTAAAAAACTATGAAGATATAACTTAGGTACTTTTTAGTATTGTTTATGAATGACGCAAAAGTTGGACAGCTTTTCAATTCAATAGGAAGTGAGTTCCATAGACTGGGTCTCTTTATTTGCATAGAGTGTTTACACAGATTAAGTTTGACTCTGGGGATATCAAAGAGATATTTACTTCTGGTGTGGTGATAATGGGTCCTATTACATAAAAATAAAAAATAAAATAAAATGTTTATTTAGGTAAGGTACATACATACAATAAATTTTTACAAAGATTGGTTGACTTATAGGTAGAGCTAGTACATACAATGCCTAAAGCCACTATTACGCAAAGCGTTTCGGGCATGATAAACTTAAATGACAAGCTTAATACTAATTGAGCATAATGAATAGAATGAAAACAAGAAGTGAAAACATAGATGAAAAAGCAGCACAAATACAATTATGTCGACAAACAGCGCTCTTTAAAGAAAAACAGACATTGGCTGACAATAGAAGGGTAAGGTAGGTTACAGGGAATTTATTAGGTATAGCTTCGTTTTTATCTTAAACTGGTTGAGAGAGGTACAGTCTTTAACATGGTTGGAAAGGTCATTCCACATTCTGGGCCCCTTGATTTGTAGAGCATTTCTAGTTTGATTAAGTCTCTCCCTGGAAAGAGATTAAGTCTCTCCCTGGAAAGAGATTAAGTCTCTCCCTGGAAAGAGATTAAGTCTCTCCCTGGAAAGAGATTAAGTCTCTCCCTGGAAATCTGTCCAGGGAGAGTTTCAGAGCAGGATTTGCATTTAAGAACAGGGTTTTGTAAATGTAGTTGACACAAGAGAATTTGTGGAGTGAGATTATGTTTAGCATGTTTAGGGAGTTAAACAAGGGGGCTGAGTGTTGTCTGCAAGCAGAATTTGTTATTATTCTGATAACAGATTTTTGCTGGGTGATGATGAGGTGGTTTGCAGTGGTTGAACCCCATGCACAGATACCATAATTAAGATAGGGATAGATTAGTGCATAATATAGAGAGATGAGAGCAGAGTTAGTTAGTTTTAGTTTAGTTCATTTATTATGCACCCCATACCCATCTTGTGGGCGGTAGTGGAAAGGGTTACAGAGGCACATAATGGGCTCAGGGACTGAACCCCACAATTCATTTAGCTAAGCAAGTTACAATCTTGATGAGCTAGTTACAAAATTCAATAAGTCATCACATCAACAATGGGTTCGAGATCGACCTCAAGTACAGGTTCTAAATTAAGCAACTGACATATGTGGAGAGCTAGTGTCAAAATTTATGTTTGTGCTGCACACCGCCCCCCATCCAGTGGGCAGCGGTGGATAGGTTACAATCACTCAGTTACTACCTGCAGTTAGCAAACTGGGGATATTTGGCTAAAATTTCTGGTAGCAGATCATTTTGAATGAAATATTTACGCATCGCTGGAACTGCTTATAGAATTGTCTCTAAATTCACGTATCTTTTCGCACTCCATCACATAGTGATGGAGGGTGTGCGAATAATTTTGTTGACACACTTTACATTTGGTCAGGTGTACATCAGCAGAGTTAGGTACATAATATCTGATTTTGGAGAGTATACCAACTGTTTTAGAGACTTTCTTAGTTATGTGTTGTATGTGGGTACTGAAGTAGTAATATCTAGGAGCCTGCTGATTTAATTAGATGATCCATAGATTTGTGGCTCCTCTTGCATAATAGTATGATGATAGATGGAATTACTGCCGTCGATTTCATTTTGGTCACATCTGCCCGTGCTGATGCGTAAGACGCGCGTCAGTTGTTCTTTGTTTACATGAGGACAAATTGGGTGTGTGTGGACGAGTCGTGACACGGCGCTACCTTCACCTATCATACACAAGGGAAAGACACCGACACCTCACAAAGAATGGTAAGATAGAGAAACCCAGCTAGAGAGGTGAGGAGTGAGGAGCACAGAAGCCGACCTATGAAGCAGGTGTGGTGTGCTCCGATGCTTCACGCTTCTTTCAGGTCTTTTGGTTGATTTTGTTAATTTAGTTTATAGGTCAACCTGGCAAGAACCGTGGGCCACATATAGGGGCCACGGATCAAAGAATAGTCGTAGCCCACAACTACACCCCACAATAGTGTGGGGAAGGGGGGGGGGGTCAAGTCACGGCGTACACAAGCCGGTTTGCAAACGATTTAAAAAAAAAAAAGTCACAGCACCACATCTGTGCCAGGTAAGTCTACTACGGGCTCACCATAGCCCGTGCTACTTGGCACTTGTTCCGAGTAGCTGAATCTATAACAACAACAGATTTTAAAAACTTTCTGAATTTTCCAAACCCAATCCAACCATACACAAGCTCATTTTCTGATTGTCAAACCATATACAGTATAATGTAAGGTTCTGATGCATTACATTATGTTAGTCTTAGCTGTGTTATTTTGGTGTGGTATGGGTTAATTTGGGGTGGTATGGGTTAGGTTGGGGTGGTATGGGTTAGGTTGGGGGTTTGTATGGGTTAGGTTGGGGGTGGTATGGGTTAGGTTGGGGTGGTATGGGTTAGGTTGGGGGTGGTATAGGTTAGGTTGGGGGTTTGTATGGGTTAGGTTGGGGGTGGTATGGGTTAGGTTGGGGGTGGTATGGGTTAGGTTGGGGTTGGTATGGGTTAGGTTGGGGGTAGTATGGATTAGGTTGGGGTGGTATAGGTTAGGTTAGGGTTGGTATGGGTTAGGTTGAGGTGGTAAGGCTTAGGTTGGGGTGGTATGGGTTAGGTTAGTGTGGTATGTGCTAGGTTGGGGTAGTGTGGGTTAGGTTGGGGTGGTATGGGTTAGGTTAGGGGTGGTATGGGTTAGGTTGGGGGTGGTATGGGTTAGGTTGGGGTGGTATGGGTTAGGTTGGGGGTAGTATGGATTAGGTTGGGGTGGTATGGGTTAGGTTGGGGGTAGTATGGATTAGGTTGGGGTGGTATGGGTTAGGTTGGGGGTGGTATGGGTTAGATTGGGGGTGGTATAGGTTAGGTTAGGGTTGGTATGGGTTAGGTTGAGGTGGTAAGGCTTAGGTTGGGGTGGTATGGGTTAGGTTAGTGTGGTATGTGCTAGGTTGGGGTAGTGTGGGTTAGGTTGGGGTGGTATGGGTTAGGTTGGGGTGGTATGGGATAGGTTGGGTTAGGTGAGAGTTAGGTTAGGTTCCATTGGATTAGGTTAGGAAGGTTTTAATATCCAATGGCAAACTATCTTTTGTACAATATGACTTGCATCTGAGCCATATACCCTGGTGATACATGATCGAACCCCTGTTAGAATCAGACCCAACTAAGGAATGAGTCAACCGATGTATCGTGTTTCCAAATTGCTCGCCCATGATGGAATAGACGAATGCCGAAAGAATATTGTTGAAAACATCTCGATAACTTATTAAACCAAAATTATTTATTAGTCAGAAGAAAGACAGAAACGGGATCTATATGGAAAACCTCTTCCAGACAAATATTTTAAGTAAAACCGAAGATTTTTTTAAAAGTGGCAGTTTTCATCACTCATCGAGCACGAATGCCACAATATTCATCTCAGAATAATGCTTATTTCATGCAGATTCGCTAATAAATGTAAGAGTTTTATATGTCACAAGAAAGATAGAAATATAAGCTTCATTTTAAATACCTTACCATGAGCATATTTGAATTAAAAGCGAAGATATGTGTATTTTTATAATTGCCGAGCACTGACCCTGCACAGATCGATCGAAGGAGAAACACAATTAGAACACTGTTTATTTCATGTAAATATGTAAATAATCATAAATGTTTTATATGTCTCAAGAAAGATAGGAATATAAGGTTCATTTTAAACAGATTATCATAGACATAATTAAAGTTCTAATGAAGATTTATGTTTTAATAATCGTTGAGATCCGACCCCACACAGACTGATCGACAGAGCAACTCTCTCTCAGAACAATGTTTATTTCACGTAAATTTGTTAATAAAGACAAATGTTTTATATGTCTTAAGAAAGATAGAAATATAAGCTTCATTTTAAATACTTTACAATAGACATATTTAAAGCTTAAGTGAAGATACATATGTTTTTATAGTGGCGTTCAGTAGCTTGTCGGGTATAGAGTGCAGACGCCTACGCACTTGCCGATACATTGTGTAATGAACAAAGATACGCTAATAAAGCCTAAAATGTTACATGCGTTTAGAAAGACTGAGCTATAATTGTTATTGTGAGTGCACCAAAGGAAATATATCTTGTTGGAGAACAGATATAGCAATTTTAAATTAAGTTTCGACTCTCGCCTCTCGCCCGGGCAAGAGTTGGGGCGACTCACCCCATCTATTGGAGATTCTGTCCACCTAATGGCCCAAAGCTACTCATACCCTCCTAGCATTACATAAGTAATGAAGAAATATGGTATATTTGCTTACTATAATGTTAGTGCTGAATGCAGAACATGAGAAAACATAATTTTACTCTGAAAAAAATATAATTTCATAACAAATTAAGATGTAAATATGTGATATCAAAGGAAGTTGACGGTCCAAGCGAAAATGTTGAGGAGTGACTTATCCAAGATATATTGTTGTCTTGAAAGTGTTTGCTGGCATATCAGCCTTCTGTGTACATTGATCCAGTCGTCGCACTTCTTTGCTCAAATTATCGCAAATGTAATTTATGATGTTAACAAGTAGAATCCGTATCTTTAATAAAATCTAACATAACTAGTCAAAAAACATTAAAGATTATTTAAAAATACATGACTGGAAGTTAAATCGACCTCGTAGAACAATAGTGTTGGTCTATAGATACTAATCGTTATTTGTTGGTATGCGTTCGCTACTTAAACTACCATGTACTGTACTTATGTAACATCTCCTATGTCTCTTCACACATGGAACACTGAACCTTACACGTTCTGATATATTGTTTAATTAACTCTTACACTGCTACAGCCTGGGCTGTAAATGGGGGTATAAGTTGGGGCTGGGTGAAAAAATATTTGAATTATGTGAAAATTAATATTAAATGTTAAATAAATCTCCAACTTATTGGCTTCAACGTCGTGAAAGTTTAATCCCAATATTTTCAGAAATAGATTTTAGACAAATTTAAAAAAAAAAAATAGAATGCTTTGTTGATTAGGAGAACAGCTCCTATTAACTGGAATTGAGGGATAATTCAGTAATAAAGAGATGCAAGCACCTGTCCAATGCACAAAGAAGAATAGTAGTAGCTAGAAGTGTCCACAAAGAGAGACATGGCCGGCTGTGCCGGCCGAGCTGACAGCACGCTGGACACGTGATCCTGGGTTCGATCTCGGGCGCTGGCGAGAAACGATGAGCAGAGTTTCTTTCACCCTATGCCCCTGTTCCCTAGTAGTAAATAGGTACCTGGGAGTTAGTCAGCTGTCACGGGCTGCTTCCTGGGGGTTGGAGGCCTGGTTGGGGAATAATCTGAAAATCTATATTCTAAATCTATTAAAATGAAGATCATATACTATTCTGAGAGCATAATACCACTTAATGAACAAACAGTGATATTTAATATTTTTGCAGGGGAGCTGAAAATCTGAAATTTTCAATACAGTATTAAGGTTTTAATTATTTTAAATTTTCTTGTTTTTCAAGTTACGTTGATGATCATTTAGATAAAGTTGGAGCATTTGTCTAGTAGATTATGCAAAAAAAAATTGGAAAGTGTTAGAGCAAGTTTGAGAAATTTAACTTGTGGTGTCATCAGGTCCTGTCGTATATATACGCCATGCGCAGCTTAACCGCTGTGATGCGCCGAGTTTATTGCGACATTCCCCTTGTGCACATGAAATCAAGCGTTTCCAAAAAATTATTTGTTGGTTGTAAAGTGATAAATTCCCTTCCCTGAACATGTCTCTGTAAAATAAATACCAAATTCCACCTACTTTGTCTGTAGGGACGTGGACAAGGTGCACTGTGAAGTCATCCTGGGCTGGTCGCCCGTGCATGAAGCTCCCAGAGGCGGTCACGCGGGCCATGCAAGCAAAGCGAGTTGCGACAAATATATTTTCAATTATTATTTGTTTCGTGCATTTCCAATGTGATTTATTTTTATTTTTTATCGTATATGATGCATATTTGTGTCCTTTACAATATGTATACAATAGACATTCATAATGCTACATGGAACATGTCCTTTACAATATGTATGCAATAGAACGTTCATAATGTTCCATGGATCTGTGATATATGTCAGTAATGTGTCTACAATAAATGTTTATTGTCACAATATTACTTGTTAAAAATTCACTAAAATTACAATATGTACAGTTTTACACACTATTTACACAGTAACACACTGTATTACACTCATTCAAAAGGTGACACCCATTGATTTTTCATTCAAAAGGTGACACCCCTAGTGTTAACACTTGCATCAGAGGAGCTCCAGCATATTTCAACAATCCTAAGTATTGTAATACAGGTTGATGATAGTGAGTGGTGTCCCATGGAACATAAAGGTGTAGTGCTTTTGAAAAATAGGTGAGATAACAGGAATGTGCTAAGGGAAGTGGAAAAAATTGGATGAGAAAAAGTTGCCCTAGTGTTTACAGTGCAGAGAAGAACATTCAAGATGGCCGCCGGCAAGAGGGAAAAACAAAACAGAGCTTGATTTTGGGGGATTCAATGAAGAAAGCATTGATATAAGCAGTCTACACAATAAAATGGCAAAATTAGATATTATAGTGAACTCTGATGTAGAAATAATCAGTAAATTGAAAGAAAGTAATGACCATTTGAGTAGCAAAGTTTTGTCTTGAAGGTTTAGTGAAAGACTTGTGCAAGGACAAGAATGAATTGGAAACAAATTGAAAAACCATGGAAGGGGAAAATAAACTCTTCAAAATAGCTCTGGAAGAAGTTAAAGCAAATTTAAATATAAATG